TGCCGCCCCCCCCCCCCCCAGCAGACCAGGGAGACGCAGAGCAAAGCCGTGGAGGACCCAGGTGGGGGGACCGCCCAGATGTGCCACGGTCCCCCCGCCCAGGTCCTCCGCGGCTTTGCTCCGCGTCTCCCTGGTCGGGGGGGGGGGGGGGGCGGAGGCCCGCAGGGAGATGTGGAGCAGCTTTTCTCGCCCCGGAGGACGTGGGCGGCGGGACCGCGGCGCATCTGGGTGGTCCTGCCGCCCGTGTCCTCCGGGGCGAGAAAAGCCCCGTTCATAAGCGCGTAACCCGGGGACTGCCTGTATATTGCTGACAGGTATTTTGACTAAGTTACCAAAATAATTGAAACTGACATGATTATATTGTGGTATTTTCACAAGTATATGCAGAATTTTAAAATCTAGTGTGCAGAATTTAATTTTTGGTGTGGAATTCCCCCAGAAGTAGTTCTATAATTAGAATTCACCAATTCAGTAACAAAATGTGCACCCCTGGATCATTACACCAGTATTACCAAATAATCCCCTAATAATCACAAATAATCCCCTAGCATCCTCCAGCCTGTCTTGCCACACAGATAAGCTGAATTTAAGAGATAAGAGGCTATTAAAACCAAAAATGGTATTTCAAGTTATTCCTAATCTCAAATAGTAAGGCAGTTACCCCAGTTCAGCAGACCTCAATCTCGCACCAAAGACAATGCTGGCATCAATTTTTCTGCTAAGCTAATAGCTTATTAGCCAAGAAAAAGAAATGAAGTGTTAAAGCAGATAAAATATATTAACAGGTGAGTCAAAGTTAGTAAATCCTAAATGATGCAGAAAAGTAGTAATCTCTCAGGACTACTCAAAATAACTTTTAGGATCACTCTTGCATCTGGAATGCTTCCCTGTGAATGTCCAAGAAGTTCAAAGATGAAGGTTCTTTCCTTGAATCCATTTTTTATATCTTTGCACAAAAAAAGCTAGTTGACAGGTTCTGGGCCTCTCTTTGCTGGCTGGGAAGGAGGAATGCAGATAAAGTCTGTAAATTCCCATTGTGAACTCAATGCTGGTGAAAGCAAACAGCCAAGCTAGTTATAGTTGTATACATAATGCAATGCCCTGTTATTACATAATAGGGATAGGTAACTGAGTTACCTTTGCTTATTTTTAATGCTGTTCACACAAACTTCTCAATTTAGCACTAACATTTTGGTCTAGCGTTATCCAATGACTAAGTATGCATAATGTAATGTGATAGCGATCAATAGGTTATAATAAAATAATATCAATTCATTGCAAAGGTAATGTGAACATTCAAAAGTATTACTACACTTAATATTTTTAGATATTCACACACAAGTGAATTGTCTTGAGATTCTGGCTTGCGCTGGCATCTGATCTGTCAGCATCACAGTTAGTACACTAAGGTACTCTTCCAAAAGTCACTGTAGCACAGGATTGTCTTCACCAATATGGCTTAGAGATATCATTCTTCTTCTTCTTAAACTCTTGTACTCTGAATGGAGCATAGGTCATCTACAAGTCTCCTCCACTTCACCGTCTTGAGACAAAACTTCTAGCTGACTCCAGGAGTACCCCAGTTGTTGTCCTTCAGTCTTAGTATGTCTTCTCCATGTTGTCTAAGGTCTTCCTCTTTTGCATTTTCCTTGCGGGTTTCATGTGAGAGTTTGACAGACTATGCTGGATGATGGTTTTCTGAGAATGTGGCCTAGCCATCCCCACTTTCTTCTCTTGATTTAACCATCAAGTGGTTCTTGTCCTGCACTATTCCAAAGCTCCTCATTTGCGACAAAGTCTTGTCATTTGATGTGAAGGATATAATAGTATAGTCAACTGATTAGCAAAAGCTTATAGGTTAATGGTATAGACTGTAGGCATACTCCCGCCCCCTGCTGCCAGTAATTTTTTTAGCATGCTGGCCAGCAGCCCAGCTCAGTCCTGGCTTCCGCTAGGTCTAGGACCTACCCCTGCTGCAGCTCTGCATTTAAAGTTCTGACTCGCACTGGGTCTGGGAGCTCAGAC